CAAATTTCAACAGATGATCACATGTCGGCTTAACATTATCTTGTAAATTGCTACAAATTTCAACAAGTGAAGAGAAACAGTAATCTCGGCTTAACTTCAACTTGTAAATTGCTACAAATTTCAACAAGTGAAGAGAAACAATAATCTCGGCTTATCTTCAACTTGTAAATTGCTACAAATTTCAACAAGCGAATTAAGGAATAATCTCGGCTTAACTTCAACTTGTAAATTGCTACAAATCTCAACAAGTGAATTAAGGAATAATCTCGGCCTTTTCTTTGCCCCCAATGTGAACCTGAGTTTGACTTGGGTTCACATTAATTATGTCTTCAATAAACATCAATGTATAACTTTATCAATCATACTATAGCTTGATCCAAATTTCTGGGTATAAAACCTGCTCCGATTCCTTGAATTTTGTGAGGACCTGCATTTCAAAATGGCAACAACCAAAACAAGATCCAATTACATTATTTTGAAACAAGATCCAATAACATTGTTTTGAAATAAAATCAAGTAAAAATTTTATCTGCTATCTCACCAGGCTTCCCACCAGAGAGTATGTTGCTTTCTAACGGTTCCAAACCAATAACCTGATACAATATGAAGAGAATGACAAAATAGAAAAAAGCATAAGTAGAAATGGTTGAAAACATTTACAATGTATTTTACATAGAATAAACACTGTTTATGCTTTGCATGCCTGGAATCCACACTTAGTTGCTTTTTCATGCTTGAAAAGCATAGATAAATTTTCATCATAAGTAGACTTGAATCAACACTAGTTTTCTTTCTTATTAATTTGGAAACCCCAATCATGCTCTTCATTCTATATGTTCTTTCTTCTCTTCTTTTTTTTTAAATTACATATGTTGAAAGAAGATACAAATCAACATGTGACAACACTTACATAAATATAAATTCTAATCACAATAATAGTCCAAGCCATTAAATTTGAGTATCAAATATTCGGATTCAAGATTCAGATTTTCTCCATTTCATTTTCACCAATTTCGCAATCAACTCCATTGTTTGGTTGGAAAAAAATACCCTCATGAATATTCACCAATTTCCTGTAGGAAAAACCATTTAAACTAAATAGCAAACTGTGTGTATTTAAACATAAAACACAACTGGAAATAAAATTCTAAAAATAAATTCCAGAATGTAAATTTTAATTCCCAAAACCCAAAAAAAATTTGTTTCTGAAAACGAAGGAAGGAAAGAAATTTTTTGTTCAAATCTAAAACTAGAACAAGAACACACTAAAATAATACATAATTAATTTACATACAAAACAATTTCTCTTAAGATCGTTACGTCCTCGCTACGGTGCTCAAGGACAGATGACGCCGACCTCCCAAGATGCAACGACTATATCCCAGAATTGCAGCAGTACAATCTAGGTCTAGCAAAGAGACTGAGTTGTATCTCTTTCTTACAGAAAATATAAGAATAGTATGCATAAGAGTAATACAAAGAAAAACGAATTAGAGAATTGGTTGGAGAATGTCTGAATTTATAGGCAAGAAGGAAAACTATTTAGATGGGTTTGGAAGCCCTCCGAACAGGTGCAAACTTGAAAATCGCCGGAGTGAAGGGGGGTGACCGGAGAAGGAAGGGATGTCAAGTTTGAATTTTGAAATTTGGCACAAATGTTTGAATTTTTTTTTTCTCTGTTAGGAATTCAAATTTTCCCCACAAGGATTGTGGAAAAAATATTTAAATAAATAATTCGAACAAATAGCAAGCACGTGTGGTGGTTTTGAGCCAAGCCCACTTTGTCCATAAGTCCCCTCCGTACAAAGCTTAGGGCCCAATCCAAGTATATCCACCTAGAGCTTATATACTCACACTAGCTCTCTTAAAGTTTCAATGTGGGACAACCAATTTAAAGAAACCCACATTTGACTCTTCCATTTCCCATTTCATGAATCCGAAAACGACGTCAACTTTCCATTCACTCATAAATGGTTTTGATGAACCGTCTTCACCGTATGACTTGCCACGTGGTAAAGAACACATCACCTCTTTGGACCCATCCCAAAAGACGTATGAGCCCTACTCAAATTTGGGCTCAAAAGTAACCCAAAATAAGCCTATGAAAACCATAATTTCCAAAATCAACTCCATTGTTTTTTTGGGAAAAAAAATAGCCTCATGAATATTCACCAATTTCGTAAGCAACTCCATTATTTGTTTAGAAAAAAATAGAATACAAGGCTGGTGCCTCTGTCGTTGACATAGTATGTTACTTCTATTGGCTTCATAATGTTGAATTTATGCATATATATATAATTATAGTTACAAATAAAGAAAGACTGATAGCACAAATGTTCTTTTTCTTCTATTCTTTTCTCCCTGGAATTTTTTTCTCTCATTGTTACAGAGGTTTCTCATTGAAAAAGCCAATTTACTCAATAGCCTTTCCTCTCTATTTTTCCCTTCTACTTATCAGTATGCTGCTTATTTATGCAAATATAAACACAATATTAGAAACTTCTGATTATTTGATTTAAACTACCAAAATATATATATGAAGAATGTACATGTCAATATAGTTGGGCCCACAATAAATATTTTCATTTGCCGGTGTCCTAATTTATTTTATAGGATTTATTGTACTAACATTTACATTCTTAATTTAATTTTGTGTATGTAAATTTAATTATATATTTAACACAATTTTTTATTTTTATTTTTAAAAATGGCCCTTATTTTTTATTTTTTATTTTTTTTAATTATATATTGATAATTTTAGTTGTTTTTTAGTTTGTTCAAGATATTTTAAATTTTAACAGATATGATGTTTTGGTCAATAAATTTCAATTACAGTAAATAAAAAATTATTAGTGTATTTGTTACATTTTATTTATTCTATGATTAAATCATATTGTTTATCAATAGATCTATTTAGTTGTAATTGTCTCATCATGTCATGTCATGTCTATGTTATATCCTAGCCTAGGCATACTTCATTCATGTGTACAATTTGAAACTTGTACAATTTAGATACTCAGTGATTTGAATTGGCCTATCAGGATGGGTTTCTACAATTATTAGAAACATATATTTCACGGAAGTGATGGGATTGATCGAGGCGGTAGTCTTTAAACAATGTGAATGGATGTTTGAGATTATTTGTCATGATAGTTATGTGCAATATTATGAATCTGTCAATGACTTGAGAGGTTGAACAATTCAAGTATTTTTTGTCGGGGTGTACACGGATCGGATTAGTTCAGTTTTAAAGTAAATTAGGAATCAAACTATTTTTTACGATTTTAAAAAAATTGGAACAGTAACTAGACCAAAATTGAACCATAGAAACAGGTTTGGTTAGCAGTTTTAAGAATTTTATATAACAATAAATATGATATCCATTTTATGTTCGTAGACAAATTAATAATAATTAGTTTGGTTAGAGTTTATTAATTTTACAATGATGACTAGTGTTCAAATTTTAGAAGAAACATTTTATGTTGGTTAGACTTTATTAATTTTACAATGATGACTAGTGTTCAAATTTTAGAAGAAACATTTTATGTTTTAAATTTTTTATATAAAAATATAAAAAATAATAAACAAATATGTTACGGTCCGGTTCGGTTTGGAACCGCAACCAAAGCCTTGGAACCGAGAATCGGACCAATTTGAACGGTTCCACCATTTTCAGAACCAGAACTATAACTAAAAAATCAGATTAAACCAACGGTTTAGACAGAATTGAATCGGCTTATCGATTCTACCGATTTTTTTGAACACTATAAATAGTAATTCACAATTAGTTGAATGAATAATATTGTTGCTAAATGTGTTCTCATAATTTATTGATAAGATCTTAGTTGAATGAATAATATTCTTGCTAAATGTGTTCTCATAATTTATTGATAAGATCTTTGCTACAACAATAATGGTTGTGATCCTTTCTCACAGGTGAGCAGTAGAGTTTGAATTGATCTTACAATTTGGTCACAAAGTAGACTGTAACCAATTTACCTTCATTTTGGGCTTACAGCCCCATCTTTAAAATTTAATCTCATACATTTTTGTAAAAATTAGAAGTTGAAATTGCTAATCAATTATTTGTTTTTAATTGTTTTTTTTTAAAAAAAAAAAAACAATATGTAAATCAATTGACATATCATGTGGCATCCTCATTGATATCTTAAAACATACCAAAATAAAATGATGAAATGAAGAAGATCTAAATCAAGTCCTCCTCGATGTGATTTGGCAAAACATATATGTTTACATGATTTAATATTTACAATTTTCGTAAACAAAAATATATGTGATGGTGTCTATTTTAGCGCATGTCAGGGTGTAACAAAAAAAAATCGGAACACAAGGCTAAAATGGAAAAAAAAAAAATACTCTAGGATTTAACTAAAAAAATTATTAAATTTAAAGGTTAATTTATTCATTTTTATACAAGGTGACTACCCATGGCATTTTCATCAAAATTGCACAGAAGTCTGGTTTGAAAGTACATTGGAAAAAAATTCAAACATTAAGAGCTAAGGTGAAAAAAAATACTTTCAAAATGATTAATGTAAAAGTATATTGAAAGATGAAGTATCTTAAAATTAAAGGGAATAAAGTATAATTTACTCATTATTTAATTTTTTAAAAGTAAAATAAATTATGCAACATCACTATTTGAGTCTTTAATTTCTTCCAATATTCAATTAACAACATATCCAGTCAAAAAGAATAAAAATTTGACATGAGAATATGAAATTAGACATTTACTTGGTCTCCAATTGAAAAACAAAGCAACAATCAACCATTAGATTATAATGTTTATGTTCATTCAAATAGTATGCCATGTGCAACCCTATAAAGTCATGACCTTTAATATCATGCAAAAAATGTCAATTGTGCAATCCCACTATGTTTATGTTTATTCAAATAAAATTGATGCTTGTAGAGCAAAGTTAATCCATTTTCTATTGAAACAAACAAACAAACAAAAACAAAAGCAAATGCAAATGATATTCACAATTTTTCAATGACTGAAAATCAATTGCCACAGTTCCATTCACCATTCGAAACCAATCACCATTATTAACAAATTGAACATGAGGTCATACATGTTGTATAGACCTAATCTTTGAAATTATTTGCATAATTTGAGCTCAGAAAGTAAAATTTTTGGAAAGAAACAAAAGAATAACAAAAAGACGTCTCTTGACTTGAAAAACTTTTTCAAGGCTCAGGTTGCATTTTCTCACACTCTTCTCGTATTGATTGGAAAAGAACCGAGGACAAATATCGTTCACCGAAGCTCGGAAAAACAACCTGCAAGCATTTAAAGATCTCAAATGTTGTTGTTTCAGAGTCAAAGTGCAGAATCCACTATTCACAACATTTGCAATTGGTGTTGGCTCATTAATGAGAAGAAACGATGTTTAGAAATGCCATTCAATAACTAATATTTATTATAGTTTGTTATTTATAATTCAAGAAATTCACTTCAGTTGCTAGAAATTCACTACATTGGGATTTCAAGTTGAAGATCTCAATGTTGTTTAGTTGTCCATTGAACATGTATAACTTCAAATTATACATTTATGAGGCTGGTGCACATTAATTTCATTGATCAACTACCTTATCGTTTTTTTCTTCTTCCTTTTTATTATTATTATTAATTTTTTATTTTTTATTTTTTTTTTGTAATTTTCATATGATGACTGGAGGAAATTAATCATAATATGAGAAAAATAATGGTGAGAGTTGAGGAATAAGTTCTAAAGTACTCAACAAAAAAAAAAAATTTGAATGAAATGAATGAAATATCAAGAAGCTAAAGGTGACTCCAATTGAGGTCATGATGGAAATGAAAGTTATCTTAGGTGGTTTGTGACCTGCAACAGAACCTATGGAAGCAGAGTAATAAAGATGGGTAATTTGAAATCAAATTGAAGATGCAACAATGGCAAGAGGAAGGCCACAAAACATGGGTCATGGTGGTGAAAAAGCAGAAATGGCCAATGGTCGGAGTTCTAACGGAGGTACAGCCCTAGAAAGTTGAATGGAAAAACAAGTAGTTGTTGGCCTGTGATAGGATTATGAATTTGTGTAGGGATTTGAAAAGAGAAAGGAAAAGACAAGAAAAATGAAAAAAATAAAATAAAAATAGCTTATATTTTATTCACATTTTCCTTACCTTTTTTTTTCTCTTTTCAAATTCTTATCCAAATCTAAGATCCAAACCAAGGTTTTGAAAAGTGGTTGCAGTTGCCGTAACGGTTGCGATAACATGGTAGCAGTTGTGAGGTGTAAAGGCCGTAACGCAACAGTTACGATAACCGGAACCGTGATTTTTTTTATTTTTCACACAATTTGAAGAAAACTTACTGATACACATATTTTTTTTTTTTCAAAATCAGATTTATTAAGGTTTAAAATAAATTTTGATCAAATTTTATTAATTTTTAAGTATAATCTAATATATTTCATATTTATAAATCACTATAAAAGGAGCATTTTACATTTTATTTCAATAGTTAATGATTTTAAGAATAATTGATTTTAAATATTTACAAATTATTTTTTACCAATACTTAAACTAACTGAATAAAAAATATTCACAATTATTAAATAAAATGATAATAAAATAAAATTTGTGCCATAAATTTTTTAAAAAAAAACTATAAAGAAAAAAAATTCATATAAAATTTTTTTTTTGGGTTTGGATCACTAGAGTATTAGTTCTTTTTTTGTAAACTTTTATTTATTTTTATTTTTATTTTTTTATGGAAAAAAAAGCTATTTAGAATATTGTAAAAGGGTGTAACGGTGTCTAACGGAAAATTTGTGCCATAAATTTTAAAAAAAAAACTATAAAGAAAAAAAACTCATATAAAATTTTTTTTTTGGGTTTGGATCACTAGAGTATTAGTTCTTTTTTTGTAAACTTTTATTTATTTTTATTTTTATTTTTTTATGGAAAAAAAAGCTATTTAGAATATTGTAAAAGGGTGTAACGGTGTCTAACGGACCATTACAGCCGCTATGGTATCGCTACGGCCGTTATGTAACACCAAAACGGCCGTTACACGTGAATTTCCATCACACCGCTATAGTGGCCGTAACAGGTGGCGGTAACCACCACAACCGTTACGTAATGGCGTTACGTAACGGTTGCAATTGCTTTTTAAAACCTTGATCCAAACACAGCCTAACAAATTAAGAACAGATATTGATGAAGGGGCACAAATACAAATATACATACCGCAATAAGCTTTCCCGCATTCTCAGGTCTCTTTCCAACTTTGAGCGCAGCGGCTGCTGCTGCTCCAGAAGAAATTCCAACCTGATAAGAAAATGAAGAGGATAGTCACAGATATGATTTAGGGCAGATACACATGTAAATATATAATTACACATTCATGGATATGCATGTACGTATACAGAAAAAATAAAATTAAAATTAAAAACTGTTGAACACCGCTATCTGCGGCTGAAGCACTCGAGAAATTGCATATACAACAACATAAACACCATGACCCTACTTCCCATTGTAAAGACTGCACATGTTTATCACCTGGAAATATCAACTAACTTATTTTAGCAAATATTAATTCATCTAAACTAAACTATTTCCACCTATTCTAGGGTCTGAGTAAATTTGATAAGTCTTATCATACTACTGCAACTAATATTGCTTATAGCCATTTTCCTGATGACAATAGTTGATTTTGTGTTTAGTCTTCAATTTTTTTTTTTTCCCCCTTTTTTAAGACACAGAGATATTGAAAACAGAAGAAGAAAGCATCTCTGATCTAACGTTTCCTCTCAAATTATAGTAATGGTTTAAAAATTAACAAGAAATACTAACCAACAAGCCCTCCTGGAGTGCCAGCTGCTTTGCAGTTTCTACAGCTTCGTCACTGGATATCTGAAAGAATTAGCATACCACAATAAATAACACACGGTAAACAGAAAAACATGGCAACCTAATACAAGTATGACAAATATAGAAAAGAATTTGAACAAGATTGTGGGATATTCATACATAGACAAGCAAATTCATATTCCCGAAAAGAGTGACTACCTCACTCCATTCCGTTCACAAAGGCCAACTAGACAAAAACAAGAGTAGAAAACAATTTTATTAGGCCTATTGTTACTACAACAATAGAAAAGTAAAAGAACAAATCAACATTTCTGCTTATGACCATAGGAAATATTTTGTATAAGCGGCCAATGCATCATACATGTTACCACTGCATCACTCGGAAGAATGCATGAAAGCCAAATTCTTACACTAATATGTTGTAGTTGTTCCCCTGGTGCAAATTATGCACCAGAATTTATCCCAAAGTATATCGAGTTTATTGGTCAGAAAAGGCTGCCATTTGTGCATAGATCAACTTCCACAAAATGCTGCTACATTGAGTTTGGAAACACAAATATCCAAACAAAATGTTGGCCACATATGTGCCACAGAAGTCAGCATCTTCTGTTTGGTTGAGTTTCGGAATTTGTTTTCTACAAAATCTCAAAAACTAGTTTTTTTTGTGTGTGTGTGTGTGTGTGTGTGTGTGTTTTTTTTGGGGGGGGGGGGACAAATTTTTTTCATTTGGTTTTCTCTTTTTGAGGTGAAAAATAATTTTAGAAATTTCAAAAACATTTTTTTAGGCGTTTATTTTTGTCAAACTAGTTTTTAATTTTTCAAAACAAGTTTCAAAAACTCAACCAAACAGCAAGGTCTTTGCTCTTACAGACATGTGCCACAAACAAGTTTTTAAGCTCATCACTGGAATTGCTTTTGCTATTACTATACTGCCAAAATGAATTCCTTTTTAATAGAGAATGGGGTTTAGACCCTGAAATCTACCTCATATTCCATGCTGCCAATATGAGTGAAACATTGTAAAAGAAAAGCACATGAATGAATCAATCAGAACAGACAAAAACACTGGAAGTAAAATCCCATAATTAATCTGTTCACAAATATTAAGTTAATTATAGAGCATTGTTTAACTCAGATGCATAATAAAATATATATGATCCGACCAAAAGAAACAATATGTAATGGTAAGATAAGACACTGACCGAAACAATATGAAATGGTAAGATAAGACACTGACCGCTATGATTTCATCAACTATAGCTTGATCCAAATTTCTGGGTATAAAACCTGCTCCGATTCCTTGAATTTTGTGAGGACCTGCATTTCAAAATGGCAACAACCAAAACAAGATCCAATTACATTATTTTGAAACAAGATCCAATAACATTGTTTTGAAACAAAATCAAGTAAAAATTTTATCTGCTATCTCACCAGGCTTCCCACCAGAGAGTATGTTGCTTTCTAACGGTTCCAAACCAATAACCTGATACAATATGAAGAGAATGACAAAATAGAAAAAAGCATAAGTAGAAATGGTTGAAAACATTTTCCATGCCATCCAGGACCCTCAAACGTTTGCAAAAAGTTGCAAACTCAGTTTTCCCTCCATCTCATGGGTACTAAGAATGTCATATGTAATGAATATGGAACAAATTTCATAACTAGGTTTGATTTGACTGATTTAAAAGCAAAAAGCACTTACCTTTATGCTAGGATTTTGCTGTTTAAGGAACTGACCAACCCCAGAAATTGTTCCACCAGTGCCGATCCCTGCAATAAAAATGTCCACCTTGCCTCTTGTATCTTCCCAGATCTCTGGACCAGTTGTCTCATAGTGAACCTGCAAAAAAATAATAAATAAAGAGATGAGAAGGTAAATTTAACATAGATTCAAGCGTCTAGGGATGAGAAGGTAACTCATCTTAAAACCTTATTTCTATATTTTGCTTTCTCTTTCCCCCCCATCTCTTCCCGAATTTTAACTTGGTATTAGAGCTTCCAATCAAATTCAATCACACCTTATAAACGCACTGAAATTTGTGAGAAATTATCACACCTTACACGCACTAAAATTTCTGAGAAATTATCATACACTTTCCACACAAGGAAATCGCAACCTGTTGTATTGTTGACGTTCGCGTGAGAGTGCTGAAGTCGGCATGGCATCAACACAATCCTGATGTCAGCGATTGAGATGCATACTGTTTGATTCATTTCTTCATGCTGAGTCCTATGGTGATTCTTATGAAATTTTTTGAAGCCATCTGACAGCATTTTCGATTTTTCAAATGTTTTTCAGAATTTTTTAGTTCATTTCTTTTATCCGTTTACTGGAGAAGTTTTTGTGGTTTGTTCACTTCTTCCCTGGGTGCCGACCTGCCATCCTAGAGGTTTCTAGGAGTGATTTAATCCATGCCATACATTTTTGGGTAGTTTTTGGCTCAACTGGACTTCAGCAATATAGTTTCTATGGCTTGTGTGTGCGTTTGGTTCAATTTTGGCTAATTTGCTCTTATTTTTTCATGTGCCGGCTAGTATGAGTGTTGGGTTGATACTTGTTCAAGGTGTATGACTGTTCGACAACAAGAGAGAGGGAATGCAGGTCGTCTTCCTTACATTGATCGATTGAACGAGGGTTCACAAATTTGTCTACTACAAAGCCAAAGTGTATTACTTATAAACTAATAAGTTATTAGCTTAGTAACAATAACCCTAACTCAAAATAGGAAACTAAACCCTATTACAAAAAGAAAACTAAAATCCCTAAAAAATAAGAAACCAAATATTACTAATATCCTAATTCAACTATAAATAAACATAAAATTATAAAAATGAATAAAACCACCATGCCAAACTTTGAGCTCACACGTCCCACATCAAGACAATTCAATAGTGGTATAAATCTTGGAGCAAGGCTAGAGAAGTGACCTTGTAGTGATTCTAGCAGCAACATGGTGCTTGGGAGAGAATAAAAAAATTGCAGCAAAATACCTTTGGATTTGCAGGATTGTCAAATTGTTGAAGCATGTAGGCATTTGGCGTGCTATTCAAAATTTCTTCAGCTTTCTGAACTGCTCCGTTCATCCCCTTAGCAGAATCAGTCAAAACAAGCTCAGCTCCAAAAGCTTTAAAAAGAACCCTTCTTTCTAGACTCATTGAGGCTGGCATTGTCAATATGAGCTTATATCCTTTTGAAGCAGCTATAAATGCAAGTCCAATGCCAGTGTTTCCACTAGTTGGCTCCACCAGAATGCTCTAGATAGAGAGGGGGGGCGGAGGAGATGGGGAAAAAAGAAGAAAATTGTTGCATCAGAATGGTAAACAGGATAAATTTTAATTTTATTTTTTTTTTTTTTTTGATAGACAGGATAAATATTAATCTAAACTAAAGTGATTATCAACATATTGAGGACATAACGTGCCATACATATTTACATGAAGCATTTTAAGCCAAGATGAAGAATAACACCACGACGTGTTAAATGCATTCATGCTGTGTTCTACTTCAGATCATTTGTTTACAACAAAAGATATATTATTACTAGGGTTAAAGGTACATTACAGCTGTTGATTTAAGTGTTTATCTGCTGATGGTGCATCAAAAAATTAGTTTCATGGACTCAAATTTTTGTTAAGGCGGCCTATCTATGGAAGGGCTGCCTTAATATACAAGGGCTGCTATTGTCCAAATACAGCAAAAACAAAAGGCAAAGCACATCAAGATTGCACACATCCTTTATACAATACGAGGTAAGGGTTGTATTCATGGTTATGTTACCTTCCCTGGTGTTATAAGACCCCTCTGCTCAGCATCAGTTATCATACTGTGTCCAATCCTGAAACCAAAAAAGAATTGAATACTAAACAAATGCATCCAAGACTTAAACCAACTCTTTTTTTGTTTTTTGCATAGCATTCAAAATCAAAATGAAACATCAAGATATGCTCCTTGCTACAGAAGCATTATGCAGAACCTAAAAGAAAGAAAGCAAACACACAGCAACAAGGAAAATGTACAATTCTATGATTATGTACCTCTGCCCAAGAAGCATTATGATTTTGAGACTCAGTTCATTATATGGTTTTATAATTTTTTTTGTGGGTAGGATTTAAAATCGTGCTAGAGTGGCGGCTATGTTAAAAACAACCATGATCAGATGATAATGACCCAAATAACATAATGACTTTTTCTGGTACATATGACAAATTCAAAACTGGGGTCCAAATCACCTGATTGCATGGCTATTTTCAATAAAGATCTTTTATAGAAGCATGCAAGATATGAATACAATCTTTTAAACTTTCATAGATGTTTGGAACACAAACAAAAAATTTGTATATCATACCTGTCCTTGACACTGCAACATGGCTCCATGATCTCAAGCTTGGCGGCTATGTTTGCAACAGACCCCTTTACAATATTATTCAAATACACCATTGGAGTTTTCCCAATAAGCTGTCACCAAACAATCAATCGAAGAAAAATAAATCTAGACGCCCTGATAATAATTATAAACATAACATCCATAAATCTCTTACTTAAAAAAAGAGGGAAAAACTACATGCATAATCCCAATGCAAGTTGACCTTAAACAACACTGAACTTATCAATGAAAACAGTTACTACAATCATTCAAAAAGAACATTCGCATGTTTTATATCATAAAGCTTTAATATTAGCCCAATTACAATGAGATTTTGCACTATAAACCTCCGCCATGCTTCCCATGAGTCATTTTAAACAAAAGTTGATTCTATAAAATTCTTGTAAACATAAACTTAGTACAAAACAATCACAATTCCATGAAGCATAATCATAGCCATAAGCATAAAAGATTACCTTATCCAGGAACCTACAAAATTCATCGAATCATCAAATTCCATTAATCTCTTCTTCCAAGAAAAGAAGAAATATATTTTGCTCATCAATTCAGATTTGCAACCAGTATCCTAATTCACAGTTTCATTTATTAATTGAACCTCAAACATAGCCATGATTACAATAAATGAGATTACTGTCGACCTTATGAAGACAATAAAAATAAAAAAAAAACTCAAATTTTGTACATCAGAAGACAGTTCTTTGCTTTCTAGCAACTATAGATTTCTAGACCATAGATTTCGTCATCATTACTGGCACAGTTGACCTTATCTAAAATTAAGAAGTACCCACAACAGTTGCAGAATCATAAACATCCATCAAATTTTCTCTTCTAAGCAGTACAGTTTTTCAAACCCACACTTTCAAATTAAAATTTCAAAAAAAAATAAATAAATAAAATAACCAAACTCCCAATTTCCATAATGTATTCTAAACAATACTAACTTTTTTCACCTGACTAACATATCAACAGTACTGAAACCGTTTGAAAAGTCTAAAATTCGATAAGATAGCCAATTCACAATCACAATCATTTTTCCAAGTAAAAATAAATAAAATGAAAGCAAACCCCTATTCTGATTTCCATTAATTTTTCAATAAAACACCCAAATCTAAAGTAAAACACTATTCTAACTTCTAAGCAACAACAAAATCAAAATCAAAACTCTAAGAAATAACAACTACCCACTTCACAACTCTTGCGAATTTCAGCAAAAAGGAATTGACTGACTCACCTGAGAGACATCATCGGCAATGTTGAGGCCTTCAATGTCAGTTTGAGGCTTCACAGACACAGCTTTGCAGACTATCGAAGAAGAAGAGACCTTCCCGGAATTGCTGAGGCTCGGAGAAGTGAACCCAACGCGAAACCGACTCGGAAATCGAGTTTCGATGCACATCGCTGATTTGGAGTTGCAGATAGAAGTCAAAGACCTGTTGATCAAAGAAGCCATTGTCGTTTCGTCCTCTGCTCTCTGCCAGCTACACTCTCTCTCTCTCTCTCTCTCTCTGTCCTCTCTGTTTCCTTCGCTCTCTCCAAATAGCAACACAACTATTTATCGTTTACTCTCTTTTTCTTTTCTTTTTTTCATTTTTCAGTTTTTATTTTTTATTTTTATTAGGGAATGATGTTGCCAAAGGCAAGAGTTTTGCATAAATGCCAACAAAAAAAAAAACAAATATATATATATATATAGAAATTATTAAATTCATAACATTTTTCTTGGATAAATATGGATTAGAAATTATTAAATAAATATGGATTAGAAATTATTAAATTCATAACATTTTTCTTGGATAAATATGGATAAATGAAAGGTAGCTTCTTCTTTTTTTTTATCAATACTCTTTTTAAGAGTTTTATTCCATTTGATTCATATTTTTTTTAACTATTTCATTAGATTCTATTTGAGATAAGAAGACTAAAATACCCTCAATCTTTTATGCCCCTATTAATGTTGATATTTAATATTGACTGTCATTGTGTTTTGGTTGTTCTCATGCATTAGAATATTGATTGTCATTATATTCATATTAATTTGAAATGAATTTTTGTCATTGTGTTGTCAATTATATGATGTGAATATTCACATCAAGTAATTGAAATGAATATTCACATCATTATATTCACATTAATTTAAAATAATTTTTTATCATTGCGTTGTCAATTACATAATATGAATATTTATATTAAAACATACGAATATGAACGTTTACATCACTACATTAGATGAGAGAGAATGTTCACATGTTGTGAACATTCACATCACTATATGTTGTCAATTAAAAATATGATGAATGTTATTTTTAATGTGTTGTCAATTAAAAATAAGAAGATTCACACGTTGTGAACATTCACATCAAATGAGAGAGAATGTTCACATTATTTTTAATGTGTTGTCAATTAAAAATATATTCACATCATATAATAATATAAAATAATAGCATCAACGTTATTTAATTTATGTATATAATTTCCTATACTTTGGTCATTTCCCTTCTCTCTCCTTCTCCAACATTAAATATCAATATTAAATATAAGAGTCTAAAAAAATAGTGTAAATCAATAAAAAAGACTTTATAAAATAAAAGTATAAATACATGGAACTAAGTGGGTTAAAAAATTCATTTATGAACATTCTTAAGTTAGAATACTTCTAAATGGGAAATATAAAAATTAATTTTAAAGTGAAAGTTTCGTAATTAATTATCCTGAACATAATCTTCACTTATGTACCATCATTATTCTCGTCTCTTATTTATATGATTTTTTTTATTATACTTACAACCTTGTTTAATAAAAAGTAACAAATTCTCTGTGAATTTCTCAATTACCCATTAATGGAGTAGAATAATTTTGGGATGCAAAAAATTTTAATTGACAAATGTTAAGAATTTATAATACACAACCTTTTAGGCGAATTTTTTTTAAGATCCTTAATATTATGATTTTATAAGATAAAGAACATACAATATTTCATAGTAATTGGGGACTCTCAACATTTTCAACAAAAAATTTTGATATAGAGAAATTTTGCCTTGACATGGAAAAATAAGTTTCTATAATTTCACAGAGAAATTTTATTAAGAGAACTTAACTAATAAAAAAAATATATTAGGTGTGTTTGGTTTGTGTTTATAGAGTAGTTTTTGAGATAAAAAAATACAAAAAGTTGTTTGGTTTGGCTTTTTCTAAATATTCTCTCTAAAATAACTTTGAATTTTTTTATAGAATAAGTTTTGAGATAAAAAGTACAAAAACTTGTTTGGTTTGTCTTTTTTCAAATATTCTTTGATTTTTTTTTTTTTGTAGAGTAGTTTTCTAGATAAAAAAGTATAAAAACTTGTTTCAAGTTTGGTTTACCTTTTTGTAGAGTAATTTTTGAGATAAAAATACAAAAACTTGTTTCGTTTGCCTTTTTTACAAACATGTTTCAAAAGTAATCCTGAAAATTGAATAACCAAACACATTTCTAAGATTTTTTTGAGAAAATCTGTTTGGTTTGATTACTCTTAAAAAAGTGTTTGTAGAGTATATTTCTAAAAAATTTCTCCCATAAAGTGTTAGATCTCTCCTACTACCAAAGTTAGAGAGGAATGTTTCACTAATTTTTCTAACCTTTTATTTCTTGTTGATAAGTTATGGTGACTTCATTTGGGAATTGACATTTTCAATAATTTTTTGGCTTTTTAAAACTTTTACAAGGTGAAAAAAATTAAAATGTCTATGAATAATAGTTTTAATTGTATTATAAATAGCAAATTAATGAAATGTTTGACTTTTTTCTTGACTTCTGAAAAAAACTTCTAAAAAAAAAAAAAAAAAAAAACTTGACTTTTTTTTAACAATTTCATGATTTTTTATAAGATAAAAAAAAAATGTAATGTGCTTGGAAATAAATTTTTTTAATCTATATAATTTTTGAATCTTCAACATCTTTTTGTCCTACTAAGATATTTGGATAGTTTAGATCTGTTCAAATTATAAAATAATAACTGAGATATATTTTTCAAAAAATATCTTACATGTATATTTCTTACTTTCTCGCTTCTCTTTCTTACTTTTTCTTTTTCTCACTTATCATTTCATGATCTCATGATCTCATCTTCTTTCCTCCCTTTTTTTCTTTTTATTTTCTCTTATTTTTATTTTTTTTCTCTATTTTTTTATTTTTTTTATTTTCTCCTTTTTATTCACTTATTTTTATTCACACCATACCTTCAGGTACGGGCATATAGTAGTATAAAAAACGTAAATGATGGAAATATATTTTTTTTTATTGATTTTTACATTTTAAACGATCTTTTATTTTTTTGAAAAAAGTACAAAACAGTGTACCTTTCAAAAAATAATTACATATTCATAAAAATATTTAAAATTTTAATTATAAACATTCATAAAATTTATCATTAATTTGTAATTATTTTTTGATTTGTAAAAAATTTTAAAATCTCACTGATTTGATACTTTTCTTATTTTTTTCTAAAATTTATTTTTTATTTTTTTAACCCAAAAAATTATGTTGTCAAATAATACCTAAATCTAATTAGTGTAAATTATACTAACACCTCTTGAGATTTCTGTTTAATACAGATCATTTTTCACATTTGAAAAATTATACTTACTCCCCTGTTAGATTAAAATGACATATTTATCTCTTAGCCTTTGTACATATAAAATAATATAGATATTTTGTTCATATCATTTCAAGGAAAATAATAATCATCTTATATGGTTTAACTCATACGAAAATTGAGTTTTTTATTTTTCATATTTTTTATTTTTACTATTTTTTTAAGATTTTAAGCAATTTTTTTATTTTTTAGATACACCTAATTTAGATATACTTAAAAAGTATAATATTTTGTGATTTTTTAAATTCACCAAATACAAATATATATATATATATAGATATATAAAAATTCAGTACATTATCTTATTGGGAGATTTTTTTTAGGGTCCCTGATATTAAGATTTTATAGCATAAAAGACATTCAATATTTTCATAATGTCTAAGGTCCTTCAAATTGATCCAGAGAAATTTCAACCCAGATAAATTATATAAAAAATATTATGATAGCGATATTGTTATAAATATAAATATGTTTATGAGTTTTTTTTTTAAGTAGAATGTCACCATTAAATTATATCACTGTGTTTGAAAATTTTATATAAAATTTATGTTTATATATCATCATTCAATAAGAATATGTTTAGATAGAATTTAATGATAGAAAATTATAGAATGTAGTCATAATAATAGAAAGAAAAATTAGTTAGAAAAAGAACAAGATGATTATTATGAAAATTTTAGAATATGACATCAACAATTTATGAAATAATTTGTAATGAATTTATAAATCTCAAAAAAAAATATTAATTTTTCAAATATAAAGAGATTTGTATTAAACAAAAAATATCAGGTAAAAGTGTAATTTAGCCATCTCAATTAATTTGAAATGATTAGCAATAACTTGGACAGTTGATAACTAGAGATCAAGTGAAAGTCAATGGTCAATGCATGGGGGGCAGTGCTGTCGTGATCACCCACTACACACATTTGATGAGGATAATTTTAAATCAGTTGACATTGAAAAACTATTTTTAAATTAATGATAAATTTTATAAATATTAAAAAATAAAATTATAAAATTTGTCATGAATTTGTAAATAATTTTTAAATTTTTCCCTTTCATATAAATTCTCCTATTTTATATTTGTTGTTATTTTTATTTAAAATTTGTTAGAAAAGAAAAAAGAAATTGCATTGCCTTCTCCTTTGTTCTCTCTCTTTTATCAATTATAATTTCTCCTCAACATGTGATCTCTTATTTATATTAATAAAATAATTAATGATTGTGAAATGATACTTTTAATTTTTTTTGTATTGCTCTTGTCAACGGTTAAATGACAAAAAATAATGTGAAAGCCATTAGTATATAAAAAAATGGCACCATTAATGTCATATCATCTTATCTTGCTAACTACATTTTTAAATAACCTTGTTTCAATATGTAGTAAGCCAATTAGGTTTCTATATTTTTTTTTTCAATTTTTAAAAGTATTTTCAAACATCTACGAATAAGAATTATTATAAAGTTTAGTACATTAACTATTTTTAATGGATAAGAGCATATTTCCAATTACAAATTTTCTTTCTTTTTTTTTTAACGTAATTTCATTAAGGTTTTTTTTGTATGTTACTAGAATGATTGTCAATTAAAATAATCATTTTATCTGAATATTTATTTTTACATTTGATCTATTAAAAAAAAATACACTACTAATGCAAGACTTCTTTACAATTGTAAGTAAAGGTCATTTTATTGAGACTAGGAATACCCATTTCATTTAGTTTAACATTCATTTTAGTGAATAAAAAATTATAAATAATAAATAAGGTGCATAGAAAAGAATCTGATTTTTTTATAGAGACAAAATATTTGATGAATTCTACACATTGAACGGTTTAAATTATCAAAACAAGACTCGTGGTAGGCACCACTAGCCCAATAACACCGTCTAGTCCACACTGGACGACAAGTCTGGCCCA